GTCTGGCGAGGCCAATGGAGAAGAGCAAAGTAAGTCTTGCCTCTCGGAGTCGAGCCAGACTTTGTGAAAGGTGGAAAGTGGACGATGGAAGGTGGATTGTGGATGGTGGATGCTGAGTGATGGAAAGACAATTGAAGTTGGAAGCTGGAAATTGAGCTGTGGATCATGGAAGGTGAAAGATAAAATGTTGATAGAGGCAAGTATAATGTGTGACGTGGATGATGGAAGGTTAAAGAGAGACAATGGAAAGGGGATAGGTTGAAGGTGGAAGTTGGAAGATGGATTGGAGAAGATGTTGGTTGGTGAGTGTAAATTGGTAGAGAGAAGGGGGAAGATGGAAAATGTAAAGTGGAAGGTGAAAGATGAAAGAGAAAATTTGTAATGTAGATGGTAAATGGTGTCATGCGATTTTTAGGCTTGACCAGTCGATGATGTCAACTGGAACGTGGAAGTTGGAAATTGGATGATGTAGGATGAAGGGTGGAAGTTGGATCGGGGGCAATGGAAGGTTACGGGCGGAATTTGGTAGATGGTAGGCAGAAGGTGGGTTTTTGATGGGGGAGAATGAAAAGATGATTGACGTAGGTTGGAAAGTGAGATGCTGCAACTGGAAGCATCGATTTGGTATGTATGATGTGGAAGGTGGAATGTGAAAAGTGGAAAGTGGAAAGTGAAATTTGGATTTTGGATAGTCGATGGGGTAAAATGGAAGATGGCATGTGAAATATTGCAAATGAAAGCTGGAATGTGGAAGGTGGAAAGTGAATGATGTAAGATAAAATGTGGAAGTCGGATCGGAACAATGGAAGGTTGTAGGCAGAATTTGGTAGTTTGAAGTTAGGAGGTGGGAGGGGGGAAGTGGGATATAGAAGGTGGATAGCGTATGGCTGATGACGCTACTTGGTAAATGGACGGTGTGAGTTAGATGGAGCACTATTGAAGACCGAAGTTGGAATTTGGAAGTTGGAAGTTTTACGGCGGATGGTGGAATGTAGAAAGTGAATAGTGGCAGGTAGTGTTCGGGTATTGGAGAGTCGATGTTGCCAAATCGGACGAGGAAGATGAAATGTTGAAAGAGGCGAGTTTAATTTGAAGTTTGGATGCTTCAAGATGAAGAATGGAAGAAGGAAGGTGAAAAGGGAGAATAAAAAATGGGTAAATGAAAGATGGATTGGAGGAGATGTTGCTTAGTGGGTGGAAGATGGAAGGTGGACATCGGATGGTGTTGTCAAATGGGACGTGGAAGATGGAGCGTTGAAGGTGGAGAGGTCGTTGCTGCGGCCACGCCTCTTTTAGGCTCGAGGAAGGCTGGCGAGAAATGCTTGGCCAAAGACTTCCGGTTTAAGTCTTTCTTTTTCCCTCTTTTCACCACCTGCAGGCCGCCCAGTTCCTGCAACACTTGGAGTCTCAGCGCAACGGCCGTTGCGTCACGAGTGTGCTCGACGAGTCCGAGACCGGTCCGGAGGTGAGTTTGAATCACGACGCGCTACTTGTTCGAGCCTGACGAAGGCCAGAAAGTCTTTCATGTGCCTCGCCCTTCGAATGCGTTACGTCGTTGCGTAGACTGGCCCGAAGAGTCGGCCATTTCGGGAGCATCAGATCCCGTCTCGTCTCCTCTTTCCCGTTTGAAGGAGTCAATCGGAGCCAAAGTTTGGACGTAGAGCCAAGAAATCTTTCTCTTCCCACTCCATGCTCCATCGTCTTCCACAGGCTTTACGAGCATGTGCGTGTAATTCCGATGCGACCGTCTGTGCCTCCCATTTTAGCCAAAAACACACTTTAAAAAGGGAGCAACCCTTCTTGAAAGGGGTGAAAGATCTACAGCTAAAATGTCGGTCAAATTTGTGGCTGATTATTTGGCAATTGTGCAGCAGGTCATTTCCTCTTCCCATTCAACTTGACGGAGACGATTATGGCGGTCATTCTGGAAATGAAGAAGGAGAATTGTCTTTCCATTTTGCAAGTTTAGCCCTTCCGAGCAGAAGACAGGTAGGTCAGTACATGCTGGCTGTAGACTTAACTTCTCCTCCAACCACGATTACTCAATGCTGGTTGGTATTTCAAAATCAATAATTATTCCAAGTGCAATATTGGGCAATAGAGACCATTGGAATAAGGAGCTAGACAGGTCTGAACCAATATTCGAAGGTGTGACCATTATTATAGCCATGATCTCCTTTCGTTTTATCGAATTGGTTTGGCTTTGTTTTCGCCTCTGGGTCGTATTGCCAGGGCGACCTGGTGGAAAGCAGCTTGTCCGGAGTCCATTGAAGGGCTGCGTTTTTGCCAGAAGATATTCTTGTGCAGGTTGTGAACATTCCGGCTAAAATAAATATCTGGAAAAGATAAAGCGGGGGCTGGGGAATGGAAATGATCCCAACAATCCTGGCACAAACAGAAGTGGGATTGGCTTGGATACGCAAAATATCGCAAAGGAATGACCAAAGTAGAGGAAACAGTAAAGAGACAAAAAGTTAATGTAGCCGTGGCAACCGGAACTCTTATCAAATATTGAGACAGGATCCAACCATGAGGATCAACGAAAGACTGGGCGGTATGCTTAAAGAATTGCATAACAACGGAGAAATCGACAGATGGATGGGATA